CTCCTTGGCATCTTCTCTCATCGTTGGCCAGAAATATCCTGCTCTTAGAGCCTTTGATACCAAGGAACCCGCCTTGCTGTGGTCACTGCAGCAGCCCTCATGAATTTCCTTCAACACATATCGCCCCTCTTCTCCGGTTACACATCGCAAGTGAAGGCCTGCGTGCGACCTTTTGTAGAGAATCCCTCCATGCTCGAAGAATCTTCTTATCACTTTAACAGCTCCTCCCTTCAATTCCTTTATTATCGGCGCCCTCCAATCCTCGATTTCTTCTATCTCGACCATCTCCTTCTCGACCACACTCTTCTCCATGTGCAGCAAGGTCACACTTCTGCTCTTGCAGTCCACCAGACTTTGTGCCATTTTAGCCAACAGATCCGCTCGACCATTTTATCCTCGAGGTATTTGGATTAATTCGAAGGAATCAAACTCTCCCTGCAGCTTCTTTATCTCCTCCACATAGTTCATCATCCTTTCCTCCCGGACCTCGAACCCTTCTTGGAATTGACCCACCACCAATTGTGAGTCTGAATGCACCTGCACTGCTCCAGCTCCGTTCACATGGTCAATTTCCTCTTTGCTCTTTACCAGCATATCATCCACATATACCTCCATGTTCCCTCCCAACTGATCCTTAAAGATATTGTCCACCAACCTCTGATATGTCGCCCCTGCATTCTTCAGGCCGAATGGCATCACCACATAGCAGTATGTTCCACGGCTTGTTACAAAGATGACCCTTTTTTAAACCTTTCGAGCCAGCGGGATCTGATGATAAACCTGGGATGCGTCCATCAAACTGAGTAGCTCACACCCGGCTGTGGAGTCGACCAGCTGGTCGATCCTGGGAAGCGGATATAAATCCTTCGGGGATGCTTTGTTCAGATCGCGGAAATAAATACACATCCTCCACTCCCCTTCCGCCTTCGACACCATCACCATGTTTGACAGTCATTCTGGGAACTGAATCTCTTTAATATGTCGTGCTCCCAACAGTTTTTTGACCTCCTGCTCGATGATCTTGTCCATCTCCGCCCCATGGTGCCTTCTCTTCTGCTTCACTGGCCTCACGCTGAGGTCGATGTTTAGCTCGATCACCTCCGCACTTATTCCTGTTAACTCCTCTGCTGTATAGGCGAAAATATCAGCAAACTCCCTAACCAACTGGATCAGCCTCGACCGAATAGGCTCTCCCAGGTCCTTTCCAATCCTAAACTTTCTCCCTTCACATCCCTCGATCATTTGAATCTCCTCGACTTCTTCCCCAGGTTGGATATCCATTTTCTCCTTACCTTTCTCCACTTTTTGCTTGTCCTTCTTCGACCTCGATCCTCCTGGTCGATTAACCTCCTGCTTCTTCGACTCGGCCTGCCTCTTCGCCAATTGTTTGTTATTGCTGACTGTCGTTTGGTAGCAACTTCTCGAAGTGAGCTGATCCCCGGCGATCTCCCCTACGTTTTCACCCAACGGATATTTGATCGTCATGTGGTACGTGGATACGACCGCCTGGAATGCGTTCAAGCTTGTCCGTCCCATGATGATGTTATAGGACGACTCAGCCCCTACAACCACAAATCTCACCATACGCACCTTTCTCAACTCTCTTGATCCCAACGCCACGGGCAAACTGACCTCTCCCATCGGCATAACTTCTCTCCCATTAAAGCCGTAAAGTGCTGTGGTCACCGGTTTCAGCTCCATATTCAGCTCCTTGTTAATCTGCACAAAATAGTCGTAGAACATCACATCTACCGAACTCCCGGTATCAATGAACACCGTCTTCACGTCGAAGCCTGCAACCTTCGCGGTTATCACCAAGGCATCATTGTGCGGCAGGACCACTCCCTCGGCATCCTCCGCCTTAAAACTTATCACCGGCATGCGGGCCGTGATACTCACCTCTTCTCTCTTCCTTTTCATTGCTCGAACATGGCCTCTCCTCGCATTATTTGAGTCCCCGTCAGTCGGTACTCCTGAAATCATATATATTGTGCCTCTTTTTACTTGGCCTCCATCTCCTTCTCTTTCCCGCTCTCTACTTCCTCGCCTCCTCTTCCCCTCATCCCTTTTTCGACCATCTCGACCACCTCGCGCATCCTCATCCTCATCTTCCTCACTCCTCTATACCGAGTCCTCCCGACACCTTCACTTCTTTTTCCTCCTCCCCTTATCCTGATAGACAAACTCCTTGAGATGCCCCGCTCAAATAAGGCGCTCAATCTCGTCCTTGAGATCCCGACAATCAGTATGGCCATAGTCTCTGTGGAAGCGGCAATATCTCCTCGAATTCGGTTGGGTGTGTTGGGGTATAAAGTAAAGCAAACTTTTATGTGAGCTTTTGGATTGTATTTATTC